GAACAGATAGTGGGGACCTATAGTACAGGGCAGGGAGCTCAGCTCGGTGCATGCGGTGACCCATATGGATGGAGTGGGGAGTGGGTGACCGGGAGGTTCAAGAGGGAGGGGGATATGTATAAATATAGCTGATTCACTTCATTGTACAGAAGAAACTATTACAACATTTAAAAGCAACAAAACCCCAATTAAAATAAAAAACAATAAGCACATGAAAATCTATTCAATATTATTATTCATTAGGGAAATGTAAATCAAAGTAACAATGACATATACTACTAGGAGGCAATAATAAAAAATAAAAACAAAAACAGAAAGTAACAAATGTTGGCAAGGATGTGCAGAAATTGGAATCATCAAAAACTGCTGGTGGGAATGGAAAATGGTGCTGCCACTATGGAAAACAGTTTGGTTTGGCAGTCCTTCAAAAAACTACCCCTAGGATTACCATATGACCCACCAATTTTACCCCTAGGTAAATACTTAAGAGAGCTGAGAACCGGGACTTGAATACTTTACCCTAGTGTTTGGTGATTCACAATAGCCAAAAGGTGGAAACAACTCAAGAGTATCCATCAACAGATACAGAAATACAAAACATGGTGTGTGTATACACACTCAAACACACACACACAATGGACAGTCATTCAGCCATAAAAAGGGATGAAATTCTGGTATCTGCCACAACATGGACAAACCTTGAAAACATTATGCTAAGTGAAATTAACCAGACACAAAAGGTCTGTATTTTGTGATTTCACTTATATTTAGAATAGGTAAATTCATATAAAGTAGATTAGAAGCTACCAGGGGCAAGGGAGAGAGGAGGGTAAGAAATTTACTGCTTAATGGTTACAAAGTAAGTTTGAGATAGTGAAAAAGTTGGAAATAGATAGTGGTAATAGCTGCTCAATACTGGAAATTTAACTGATGCCACAGAATTGTGCAGTTAAAATTGGTTAAAATGGCAAATCTTATGTTAGATATATTTTATCACAATTAAACATCTCAAAAAATTTTTAATGCAGCAAAAGCAGGTCCCTTCACAGTGCTGTTGGATATATAACTTCACACAAACTTTATGAAAAGCAATCTAATAGCTTTAAAAATGTTGAACTCTTTGACTTAGTAATTCTGTTAATCTATCCTGAGGGAAGCCTGGCATGCTGCAGTCCATGGGGTCGCAAAGAGTTGGACATGACTGAGTGACTGAACCGAATTCTAAGGAAATATTAAAAAAGCAAATGTCTTAATATTCAATATATTCTTTTGAACATTGTACTTGGGAAAATGCAAAATATCCTAAATATAAGGTGTTGGAATGGTTGCACAAATAATGATAATTTCATAAGATTAAATACTATGCCCCTGGAGAAGGGCATAGCAACCCACTCCAGTATTCTTGCCTGGAGAATTGCATGGACAGAGGAGCCTGGTGGGCTACAGTCCATAGGGTCACAAAGAGTCGGACAAGACCGAAGCAATTTAGCACGCAAATACTATGCATTGATTAATAATCATCTGTAAGAACAGTCTATAAGTCATATAGGATACTGCCTATGGCATGACATTAAGTAAAAAAGAGAAGATAAAAACTGTATTTAAAAAATGGAAAGCAATGTTTGATAAGTTAACCTCTGAGGACAGGATTATGAATGGTTTTTCCCCTGCCTCTATTTTGAATTCTACTTTTCCAATTGTCAACAATGAATATATAGTGATGCTGTAATGCATGGTGAGGGATGGAAGATCTATTACTATTAAGAGAAAAACAATTATAATATTTTACCATCTCATTTTCTAGAAAATAAACTGAAAATGCGTTTCACATTAATTGTTCAAAAAGATGCTAAAATTTTCAATGATTTTTATAAGACCATTAGAGTTGAAGAAGCTAGGGATCAAGTTTAACCCTTCTTTTTACAACTGAGCTTAAGCTCACAAAAGTTAACTTGTGACAAATGAGGAAAAGATTTGCTAGACTATTGTTACCTGGATTTCTTATATTCTGTAGAAAGAGATTGTAAGCCATTACATTTTGTTTCCTTCTTTCTTTCTTTTTACTATTACCAATTTAAATGAGTTCTCTAAATGAGTTCTCTGTTTTGAAAGATGGAAAAGTTACAGAGATGGACAATGGTGATGGCTGCACAACACCATGAATGTATTTATTGACACTGAATTAATTGTACTTAAGTGTAATAAGAAAGGTTAAAATGGTAAAATTTTGTTACATATATTTTATCACAATTAAAAATAAATTAGGAATAAAGTCTCTGTCTTGGGATTCTAGCCACCATTTATATACTGTTCCTATAGGAAAAAAAAAAGTTGAATTCCATATTATGAGCTTAAAACAAACAATTTAAGTGCTACCAATTTTCAGTGGAATACTTATAACTTTTTAAAAATGTTTGAAAAACCCAAGAGATTCTGACTCCTAATTTATGACAAAGAGAAAAAGATAGTTTTAAAAGAATTTAGTTGAAGTTAAGTCAGATAGAGGAAGACAAATACCACACGATTTCACCAAAAAACAAAACAAAACAAAACAAAACAAACAAAATGAAAACAGAAAACACACTCACAGATACAGAGAACAAATGCACAGATGCCAAAAAGGGAGGGAGTTGGGGGGTGGACAAAATAGGTGAAGCAAATTAAGACGTATAAACCTTTAGTTATGTAAGTCACAGGGATGTAATATATAGCCCAAGAAGTAAGGTCATTAATATCATAAAACTTTTTATGGGGAGAGATGGTTACTAAACTTACTGTGGTGATCATTTTATGATGTATGCAAATATCAAATCATTTAGTACACCCAAAACCAACATAATATTGTTCATCAACTATGTTTCAATTATTCTAGAAAACTACTGCTGAATCAACTGAATATACATATGGAAAATGAATGACCCCTTAGCCTACTACCTTATACCATATATAAAATTCCAGATGGTTACTGTCATATTAACAGAAGTACAAAAATAAGATTTCTAGAAGATAGCAATGATAGAATATAACCAGGATCTTGACGTAGGCAAGCACAGGCTGTTGAAGTCAAGCAGAGTGAGGGAACCATCTGTGCACAGGGAGTGGAAGGGTGGCAGAAGTGATGCTGGAGTCTGGGCAGGATGAAGACGATATCGCACATGGGCAAGCAGTGGCAGCAGCCTGGTATTTTTGTTGGATCCCAAGTGTGAGAGAGTATCTGTGTGGCAGTAGCAGTAGTCTGGCATGAAGTATAGAGGCCTCAGTGGAACAAGATGAGGATATCCATTTGATCTTTAGCAGGGTGGGAAGGAGGTCCACTAAGAGCATCAACAGTGGTAGGAGGTTGCTGACATACCTGAGACTTGATCCAATAAGTAAATATATAAAGGATAGTGGGAGCAAGGGTCCTCATGTCAGAGAACGGAGTTGCAAACATGCAAAGGGAGAAAATCAGCATGAAATCTATGGTTCTGGACTAGATTTGGAAGCACTAGTATGACAGTATGGTTTTCAATATATATAGACAAATACAGAAATAAATGTGTGTGTTTACATATACACATGTACCCTGGGAGCAGTAACACCTCAATAGCATGAAAATACCTAACACTCAGATCTTGGCTTATAAATATCCATTCTCTAACTTTTTAAAAAAGGAATCTTTGAAGAAATGACTCCAGAGCTAGAGCCTAGAACTTTTTGCTGTGCCAGAAAATAAGAAGGTGCTCAAAGAATTAATGAGGCATGACAAAGGACACAGAAGTCAGCTTGCTGGGGCTCTTACCAGTTACACTGGGAACAATGTGAGACTCAGATAACAATAATGATAGCATAAACCTCACTGAGTTAAAGAGGATTCCAAGAGTCTACACTTATGTAAATAATTACATAACAATGAAATGAATAGAAGAGGGCATTTCCTTACAGTATATGCCAATCAAAAATGTAGAAGGAAGGATGGAGTCACAAAATTACAATCTGGCAACTACCACAGTAATAACTTATTTAAGAAACAACAACAAATGTTAAAATTTCCACTGCTGCTGAAAGACCCTTCCATTTCATTCTAGTGGAAGCAAGTTTGAGTGGGAGACACACACACAGACACACATGTATCTCCCTACAAATTTTTATTAATTACAGTGAAGAAATTCAGCAGATACTATCTTAACCAAAGTTAACATCATCAGGGATGGGATCCATCAAAATCATATGTTACCTGATAGGATGTAATCAGAGTATATCACTCCTGGGACATTTTATCAAAGATGCATAACCTGAACACTAAACATCAGACAAACTGAAATTGAGTGATAAACTACAAAATAACTGACTGGCGTCATCCAAAGTATCAGAGAGAAGAAAGTCTAACATTTATAATCTTTATTTAATTTTTTAAAACAGCTTTGTTAAGGTATAACACATATACAAGAAATTGCGCTTTTTAATGTATACAATTTAATGAGTTTGGACATATACAAACACCCGTGAAACAATTACCACAATCAAAGTAAGAGACCTATCTAAAACCTGTAAGAAATTTCTTTTTGCCTCTATAATAGAGTCAGATATTAGTTAATAAATAATCCACTTTAACATAAAAAAGACAAAGCTATATGCTTATAACAAATTTCAAGGCCAAACACAAACATTTCCTCCATTAGTCAGTTGCTCTCAAAAACTCTTTAGGATAAACTATAAATTCTTCAATATTACATTGTAATACTGGTTCTGAGCCTATTCTCAATATATTTCCTTTTGACAGAATCCTTTAGAGGATCTGTTTTTTAGAGGATACCATTTTTTAAAATCCTAAACAAAATCCTAAACAAAATGTACACCATCTGATTCCACCCCACTCTCTATAGGGCACTGAGCAAGTGCTTTGAAGAACAACATATACCTCTGCCTCTTTCTTAAGAAAGGCAAATACTGCTGAGAAAATCTTCAAAAACAAATACGTATCAACACACATAATTTCCTAGTCACAATCAATAACCAGTTTGAGTCACAAAGGATTATACAACAACAAAATAAGTCACTTAGATTGCATGAAACAAAATACTGCCCTAAACAAATAATATCTAGTCAAATGAAGGTTGAGTGATGAGGAACAGTATAGATGGTACATATGATAACAGACTAAAAAGAAGAGATGAGAATATTTTGAGCACAGGATTGAGAGCATGATAAAATTCTGGTGAGCTGTGTAAGATGATTCTAAATTGGAAAATGTCAAACTTAAGACTCTAATATGAATAATGAGGCAGCAATATAGAGTAACCGTTACATTTGGGTTATTATAGAAAAGGAATTCAGCCTAAGCATTTGAAACTTGAAAAATCTTACATGTATTATTTTATTAGACAATATGACTTTCAGGTCATCGTCCTTTTTCTGTTCCATTTGTATCACTCAATAAGATCAGCTCCAAAGAGTTTTAGTTGTTTTTTTTTTAAATCTTGACCATGTGACTAACAACTGTCTCAGTTGTTTCTATCCATAGCAACACCATGGAATCATTAGCCTCTGAGGCCTCCTTCAGAGACTTGTTTCCATGACAACAGAGGCTATAATATTAACACTGTCTCAAAGAATACTGCAGAAACTGGTAAATTCCCATAAAGTAACTGGATTGTACATATTTTAAAAGTATTTTTTAAATGCCAGTATCACATTGATGGCTTTCCGGGAAATGTTTTAACTAATTTTTAGAGATTCTTGTTATTTATTCACAGTTTTACATTTTAAATTTGATGTGAAGAGCTTAAAATTATGAAAGCAGCTTTTACAAAGATTTTGATAAAAAGTGGTCTGAAGCCTCATGAGGTACAGCCACATGCTTAACGTGTACTGCACATCTGCATTTATGACTATGTACCTCCCTCTTTCACTTGCACTCACTCCACTCGATAAATGAAAAAAAGAATATATATATATATAGATAGATAGATAGAGTATCTTTACCTTTAATCTGCTTGAAATAGCTAAAGTGGTTTTTTACATGTACATGTGAATCCTGTCTGATACAGGAAGAAACAGAAGGAATAATTAGGAGGCTGCTATGATAATCCATCTGAGAGGTGATCAGTGGCTTCAACCAAATGATAGTAACGGTGAAAACGGACATGAGTAGTCAAATAAAGATATATTTTGAATGTAGAAGTGATATCTATATGACTGATGGGAAGCTGGGAAGGACTATTAAGAATAACAACAACAACGGCCTCTAAAAATTGTCTTTTACATCATAGTTAGATTCAACCATAAAAGAATTACAATGCTGTCTGAACGTTTTTCTTAACTTTTTCTCACTTATAGTCTTACTTATTAATATGTTCATAAGATTAAATTCTAAAGAAAGATAACTAATACCATACTACCAGGTAATGATCTTAGAATATCCACAAAGATTCAATAAGTGCTAAGTAAATTTATAACATACTTAAGGAAAATGAAATAAATGAATTAGCAGATCTTTTGTTATCAATATCTTAAAGAAAAATAACTACCCCCATGCCACTGTTGGTCTATTAGAATTTTCCTTCGTTTTTTGTTTTTAGTATGGTATAGTTTAATATTTTTAATCTAAGTTCCTTTGTTTAAATTTCTACAATGTGATAATGAGACATGTTTCTTTGAATAAATGTCAAAGAAAATATCTAAGAGGGAAAGAGAAATCAGGGGAAAGAACTGCAAGCTTTTTGTATGTTTATAGAAGGATAAAATGCATCACAATAAATTTACCAAAACTGTTTGGGAATCACTGTACTCAACAGGGGTCTAGCACCTTCAAAATAAGTTTTTGTTGTTGCTTAGATCTGGTTCCTATTTGATTCAAATGCTCCTTTTGCCACATTTACTCCAAATAGTATATTCAATATAAACTCCGTAACATGTTATTTGAACCAGCTGCATATGATATTCATATCATAATTATCTCTGAAGCAAACAGCAACAAAACTAGATATATTTTGAAACAAATTTTGAAACAATTTTGAAACAAAAAAAATTTGAAACAAATACTAAAAACAAAACAAATACAATACTAAGGGATTAAATACAAATTCTTGATTTTAAAATAACAAAGGGGAGAAAGGAAAACAGTCTAGTGATGAACAATCCTAGTATAGAAGCATGGGTGCAAATCTGTTAAGTTTACACAGACAGAATATAGTAGTTCATGAATCTATCAATATTTCAGTTTGTAAGATTGATATTTATGAATAGTTAAGGTATATCATCCCTTCATTATAAAAAGACAGCATTCCATCAGCATTCAGCCATTCACTTTGTACTAATACAAGGATGAGCCAACATTCATTCAGAATTTCAAGTAAACAGAAATCCAAAATTTGAATTTAAAGCTGTGGTCACATAAATAACAAACAGATATGAAACTACCAAATGCAATACGCTGCCTGCCTCCCCACATTTATCAGACTATGGCTACAGAAACACACACAACCATGGACTTCACAATGACTAACCTAAAATGGGACCTCAACACTTTCTAGTACTCATACATTTACCCTATTTTGTTCATTCTTGTACAATTCCTAATGATTCAGGTCACTATTAACCTTTCTGAAGTTATCTTCTATTTTCCTCCCACTTACTGTTTTGGCCATACTCTGCTGTGTTTCAAAAACTCTATAAACAAGCTCTGGCCTCAGAGTCTTTCATACAGTCTTCCTTTGCCTAGAATGCTCTTGTCCCAGATATCCACATGACCCAGCTCCATAACTTCTTTTACGCCTTGCTCAAATAACACCCTTCAGTTGAAGCCTCTCCTATTCTACTAAACCCACCCCCACCACATATACACAAATATACCCATTTCCTATTGTCTTCTCTTTCTACCTTTTCTCCAGTATACTATATATTTTACTTAGGTTTGTCATCTGTCTTCTCCCCCTTTAATATAAGCTCTATAGGAGTAAGGATTCTTGTTCTATTCAATATTACTCCTGTATACCTAGTTCCTAGAATAATATCTAGCACATAGGAAGTAGTTAATACATGTTTCTTGGATGAATGAAACAATATGATTGACAAAAGAGACTGAGTTAATCAGCACTCTAGAATGATAAAGTGACTCAAGTGACTCAGAGAACAGATTGTATACACCCATCCCTCCCCCTGCCCACTTTCATTCTACACACATAGAAGACACTGCTAAGAGATTCTGTGTGCTTGGGCAGCCACTACCAATCAGAAAGTGCTCAAGATGTTCTGGTATTTGATGACCTCAGAAGTTCAAAATATAAAAATGCCAAAAAATTACCAGTTTCATGTTGTCCTCTGTCTGCATGCGCTTTAAGTCACTAGTCTATAGGGTCGCACAGAGTCATCCCTCTGCCAGGCTCCTCTGTCCATGGAATTCTCAAGGCAAGAATTCTAAAGTGGGTTGCCATGGCCCCTGCGAGGGAATCTTCCCAATCCAGGGATCAAACCCATGTTTCTTATGTCTCTTGCATTGGCAGGTGGATTTTTTACCACTAGTGCCATCTGGGAAAGCATGTTCTGTCTAGCAATAATAATATCCTATGTGAAAATATATATCCTATGTGAATAATAATATCCTATGTGAAAGTAAACATGTCTTGTTCAAGAACATCTGCTGAAAAGATTTTCTCTTCCCTTTTTAAACTGTATTAAGTAGTAAATATCACTGACAGATCACATTTAAAGCCTGCGGTGCCCTTCTTCCAAACTTCTGGGTTCTACTAACTTCAACTCGATCCCTAGGTCCCTTCTCACAAGGTAGCTGCTTCCTGTTGATACTATCTCTGTTTTATTTTGGTGTTCACATGTTTCCTTTTCAGTTCTCCAATTCCTTTTAAATCACCATTCATATTACATTTTCCCTGTTAAAATAATTACTGTGGTGTCTGTTTTTCTGACTGGACCTACTCAAGGTTACCAATCCTCTTGTCAAAACATAATTCTTCATCATTCTGTAATAAGATTGCTTCTCGGTATCTATAGATTCCCCACATAAAACACCAGAATATTTTGTAGGATCAATTTCACGGGTGGTTGTGAAACTGGTGATAAAGATGATGATGATAGGTACTTTACTGATGTCACGTATTACAGTAAGGGTTTTGCAGGTTTGTCCCATTTAATTTTTTACTAAATCTTGATCCTTGTTTTCTGCAGGTGGAAGAAAGAGACTCAGAATTTAGGTAATTTATCCAATGTGCTACAGCTAAAATAGAACAGGGCTTTAAACTCAGTTCATCATCCTCTAAAAACAACACTCTCAACCACTGCTCTCCAAAATCCTGCTATGAATTTAGTAGAGCTGAAGCATTTAATTCCTAAGGTTGGTATTTATCTTATTCTATTATATGTCAAAATACTTACAAAGTGATTATTTTTCAAATTTATAATACTTTGATACATTAAGATGGTTCCAGCAAGATTAGTCAGAGTTAAATACAGTAAAATGAGGCTGGGATATGTTTCATTTCAAATTGCAGATTATAATCTTTAGTTATTTGCCTCAGAGCCAACAAAAATTTTGTTAAGGCGATCAATTGATCCCATTCTGTCATAATAATAACTTCCTTATGCTCACAGCTGGCTGAGTCAATAGTCACAGCTTAGATTTAAAAAATACTGGTAATATTGCTCAGAAAGGGACTAAACTGGGGTCTACTAATGGATAAAGAATGAACAGCAGCGCTCCTGTTAAGAGGTGAGGGGGAAAACATCTTTTAAATAAATTTGTCTAGGGGCAGAAGTTGTGTTTAGGATTCTAAAATTCTACTGCTTCCAGATGTGATAACAGTTGGTTTACACTTGCACAAAATAGGTTCAGTCTTTGTTAACTGATTTGTACATGCCTGTACAATTGCCACATCAGTTGGTTTATTTAAAGTTTGGTAAATAAGCTGGTAATTGTAGGATACTGTTCTCTGCATGATCTGAATAGCTACTCTTACCTTTATCAAAATTCTAAATTTTGACATAAGAATGAAGGACTGAATAATGTTATCTAAATAACAGTGCCAGGAAGTACACAGTGAGAAAAATCTTTAAAGAAAATGACACTAAGTCAAATTTTAACAGTAAGAATATAAGTTCTTCATATATTAATATATATGCTTCAATGTTTTCACAGAAGCCTTTGAATTAGTTTTGAAATAGACATGATTTTATAAAATCCTGTAATGTAGACTTATAATTTTAAAGCCATAGTTGTACATAAAAATGGCTTGGGAAATTTACAGTGGCCAAACCATATTTAGAAGTTCCAAACTTCTTTGTAGCCATCATCAGATTAAATGAAAATAAACACATATAATTAACTTTATTCATTCAACAAACAGCCATCATCTGCATTCACCACTTTAGGCTCTAAGGATATAAGAAAACATACATCTATCCTACCAGCTCTTGTGAAGCTTATGGTTTTGCAGCTGATATTAAATCATTACCCAATTGATTACTGAAATATAGTTGTGGTAAGAGGTATAGAATACAATTCTCATGAAAACAAATACTGCTTAAGATAAGAAAAGAGCGAAAATGTGCGAGTTGAATGTTCTATTCTGACCTCAGAGGTTATGGGCCAGTCACTTTTCAGTACTGTTATTAACACATTATTTTAAAAGTTAACCCTAAAACTACATATCACACACACATACATACATGTTATATATTAAAATATGCAAACTGCAGTTTGTGCAATAAAACATATATATTGCTATGTGTCCTTGACCAAAAAAAGTGAAAGTGAAAGTTGCTCAGTTGTGTCCGACTCATTGAGACTGCATGGACTGTATCCTGCCAGGTTCCTCTGTCCATGGAATTCTCCAGGCCAAAATACTGGAGTGGGTAGCCTTTCCCTTCTCCAGTGGATCTTCCCAACCCAAGGATCGAATCCAAGTCTTCCGCATTGCAGGTAGATTCTTTACCGTCTGAGCCCTCCTTGACAAAAGGACAATCTAACAGTTATGACACTACACAGAAACTACAAAGATGTACACAACACACTTCCTATTTATGAAGAGCTTATATAACAAACTTTACCTAGTTCTTCAAACTATAGCCAATCTAATCCACCTCAAGATATTAATGTTGTTCTTTTAACAGACTTTACTTTTTAGAGTAGAAAGTACAGAGTTCCCATGTAACCTTTGCCTACACACATGCATTGCATTCCCATTATTAACATTTCCCACTTGAGCTGTATATTGTACAGTTGATGAATCTACAATGACACATCACTCCTATCCAAAGTTCATAGTTTACACTAGGGTTCATTCTTGATGTACATTTACAAGTTTAAACAATGTCAGGTATCCACCATTATAGTACCATACACAATAGTTTCACTGGCCTAAAAATCTGTGCTCTATTCATCCCTCCCTCTTTCCTAACTTTGATAACTAATCTTTTTACTATCTCCATAGTTTTGTCTTTTCCAGAATGTCATATAGTTGGAAGCATAGAATGTGCAGTGTTTTCAGATTGGTGTCTTTCCCTTAGAAATAAGCACTTATAGAGTTCTTCCATATCTTTTTAACACTTAATAACATTTCACTATCTGGCTATTTACCCACTGAAGGTTATCTTGGTTGCTTCCAAGTTTCGGCAATCATGAATAAAGCTGCAATAAACATCTGTGTGCAAATTTTCATGTGGACATAAGTGCTCAACTCATTTGAATGAAAACCAAGGAGTGCAACTACTGGATTAAATGGTCAATTTGGTATTTTTTAAAAGTGAATATAACCACTGTAAACTTTTTGCTTAATCTTCATCTTTATGCTTTTCTAGTGTCCAAATTACTGGGTCTCAAACATCACTTAAACATTTTTGAGTAGTTATGTTTTGGGTATAAAGGGAAACAATTTCCAAATCTGAGTAATGGCATTTTAAACAAAAGTACTGGCCTTTTGAGTAGGAAACTCAACTGTGTCAAGAGACAGCCATCTCACAACCAGTATAACAGAATTTTTATCCTAACTTTGATTGCTTGGTAATCATTACACAAAGAGACTGTTTCTACCCATTCTCCAGGTAGAATTCTACTATCTACTATCTCTATCTACTATCTTTATATCTAATATATGTATATATATACATATATATATATATATATATATCTACATCTAGATATCTAGATATCTACTATCTCTATACTCTGGGTAGAATTTTACTATCAGAGTTGGTATTTCCAAAGTAGTTTAAGAGGATTATCTACTTTATATTCTTTATATTCTAGTTTAATACAAAGGCATTTCACTGCTGAATATAAGCAATTTCATTCTTTAGAGATGAAGAAAAAAATATATATTTAAATACATATAAGTAAATACACGAATGTATTTTATACATATATATATATATTTGTCCACTTCAAAATACAACTATCATTAGGCATGAGGCCAAATGTTTAAAACGTGCATAGATAAGGTTAGGCCAATTTATGTTGGTCCAAGGTGGAAATGTCCTGGTGTGAATATTTAGACCTGCTGCCTGGGAGGAACTGTCATAAGATAAAACCTTATAGATAATGATACCATATGCCTCTGTCTGCCTGGGAAATTCCCCTTTTCTATCAAAAGTACTCCCAAGTCTGGTCAGTGAGTGATACATTCATCCTAGTTGTAAGGAAATTTAATAGTTTTTCTCCTCTTCTCTCCCTGCCTCACCTCCCAAGGTGAAGGGTAAATAAGAGAATCATCAGTTGGAGGATCAGTACAACACTGAAGTGTGACATATGTTTCACAAAACATTTAAGAGAGAATTCAGATGGATTAAAAATATATAACAATAAAGAGTCAGGCAGTATTAAGTGCTATGAAGAAAAATGTTTAAAAAGATAAAAGGACAGTGATGTTTGGAGTGAAGGAGTGTCTGCTACCTTAGATAAGAATCTAGAAAGATCCTCTGAGAAGGTAACAGACGAGCAGAAATCTGAAGGAAGTGAGGAAATGAACTGTAAGAATATCTGAGGAAAGAATGTTCCAGGCAGAGGAAAGAGTAACATTAAGGTTCTGAGAGAGCCACATGCTTGATATATTTGAGGAATAGGAACAAGGCCAATACAGCAAAGAAAGTGAAGGAGCAATAGGAAATGGGATTACAGACACTGCCAGGGACTAGATAATAAACAGCCTTTTGAACTACGGTAACGAAGGATTTAGGATTTTATTATATGTCGGACTGAAAGCCATGGAAGTGATAAAAACAAGATAATGACATGAACTGACATTCTGTAAGGATTCCTCTGGCTTCTGGGTAAAGAACAGACTGGTGAGAGTGAAGAATGGCGATAGGGAGTCCAAATAGATTATCTACTGCTGTAATTCAGGCAACAAATTAAATAATTTTAATTAGTCATTATAGAGTAGTGAGAAGTGGTTAGATCATATATCCTAAACACAGAGCCAACAGAATTTGCTATTAAATTGTGTGAGCAAAAGAAAAAGGAACAGAAGATGATTTCAAGGGTTATCTTCAGCATCTCAGTGACTAAATGAGGATGGGGGAAAATAATATTAGAAACTCTATTTTTGACATGATAACTTTCAGATACTTAATCCAAGTGGAGATACAGATTAGGAAAGCTAGATATACAAGTCTAGTGAACAGGGATTAGCTCTGGACTGAAGATATGAATAATGATGTTAATTAAAGGCACCTGGATAAGATCAAGTGAAATATGAGTATAAAAAGAAGGAAGTTCAATGACTGATGCCCTGAGTTACTCTGTTAGTAGTTAAGAGAAGGAGGAGGATATTGCAAAGGAAATTGAGATTGGGAGACTAGGGAGAATGGTGTTTAAGAGTTAAATGGGAAAAGAATTTAAAGGAGGGAGTGAGTAGTCAATGTGTAAAAAGCTGTGGAAGGGTCAAGTAAAATGAAGACTGAGAACTGATCCCTAGATTTGACAGTCTATACTCCAAGAGGGTTTTCTGGCTGGTTGTTTTAATGAGAGGTATTATGCTGAGTATGTATGATGATAGGAATACTCCAGTACAGAGGGAAAGACAGATAATGCAATGAAGAGGGAATTTCAGAACTCTCTGAAAAGTCAAAATGAAAATTTAGTACAAAAGTGATAGGTGAGATTTAAGAACACAAGCGGATTATTTAACAGGATGGGAGACAGAATAAGACCATCAGTTGAGAATGAGTGCCAGGAAACAGGTATTGGAAATTTAACATGCAGCTTTGGAGCCAATGTGGAGGAGGCAGAGTTGCAATTAACCAAGGTTGGATCTTACCATTGAAGTGACAGAGGAGCAAGCAAGTTAAGATTATGAAAGGTGCTGTTTAAAGTTATGGACCAAGGAATTTGAGCAACGC